GTTTTCAATAACCTAATTATATCATATGAATTGAATTATATCTCAATAAAGTTGTTAACAATTTTTCCCATAGGGTCAGGGATAGAGCTCAGTGGTAGAGCACCTGCTTTGCATGTGTAGATCCTGGGTTCCAGCCCCAGTGCTACAAAGCAAACAAACAAAGCTCCCCCCAATACCTCCCTTAAATCACTTTCTCTTCTGTACCATGTTTATCTCTTCACCTCCCACTCACAGCACAATCCCCTAGCTTCTAAACTATTATCTCTGGTCACAAATGGTTTCTTATTGAGAAAAATCCAATAGGCACTTTTCAGTTTTCATCTTTTCAAACTTCTTCCAGACAGGTTCTAAAACACACACGTGGTCATGTTACAAACCTTCCATTGTTCTCACTGTCTTAGAATGCAATTACATTTCCTTTATAATTTATAAACAATATGTAAATGTATTTGTATGCCATATATACATACTTTTTATGGAATTGAAGGCCCTTTATGATTTGGTTCCTTTCTCCCTCTTACCTTATCACCTCCAATCCATTTCATATACACCCAGTTCTCCATCCATGATCTCTGTTATATATATGCCACAAACTTAAGAAGTATCTTCTGTGTAGATATTCATTGCCCATGACTCTACTCAGTGATCTGAATCATCCTTGAATATGCTGCTCCAACCTTCCATTTCCCAGAAAAATATGCCTGGGTTTAATTAGTCTGAGTTTAGTACCCATCCCCTGTGCTTGTGCATATATACATGCGTATACTTATCTCAATACTAAACTTATCAGTGTATTATAATTGTTTACTTATTTCTATTTTTTCATTAGATAATGAACTCTAGCTGAGTGAGGGCAGGACTTGCCTTTCAACCTTTTAACCTTATTTCAATAATTTGAGTTCAATAAAAGGTTATTGAAAAAAATGAATAAATCAATGACATATTTTTGTTTTCTGCTTTCTTCTTGTCTCAATTTACAATGAACTCTGCATGTGTACCCTAGGAAATGGTCTCTAACCGCTTCTCTAGTGTCAATATGCTATAATTCTATGATGTCATCTTACAGTTGTGTTTTCTAACCTGGATTTAACTCGGAACAACACGAGGGAAGGAATAACACCTGCAGAATATTATGATCTGATATGCCAGGCACTTCATATAATGATACCTTATCTAATCCTCTATGGGTGGGCAATATCATACGAAATCTACATTTGAGGAAATAGAGGTTGAGTAGGATCCAAATCAAACAACTAGTAGTTATTAAAGGAATCAAATCTACATCATTTTATTTATTTGTTTATTCTATCACACCGCCTTGTGCCATAAGAGTTAGCACTGGCCAATGCTATGGAAAGGCAATAATAAAGGATTATATTTTAATCACATTCAGAAAGCTTTGTGAATTAAAAGCATATTTATATTAATAACACTAAATAACAAAGAGACATATTCTCACTTCAAAAACATACATACTATATGTAGATCATCATAGGTCACACATATTTAACGAATGTAGAATCTAATGTGTAATATATGTGTATATAAAAATAAATCAGGGTGGTTAAGACTTAATTTTCTGATAATACCTGTCAGACACAAAAAAAGACAAATAATATATGATTTCACTTACATGAGGTACCTAGAGTAATAAGACTCATACAGACAGAGGGCAGAATGGTGGTCGCCGGGAATCGAAGAGAGGACAGAGTGGGGAGTTATTGTGGGAGAGAAAGGGAAGTCAAAGAAACTTTAAACATATGTTTTAAATAGTAATTAACAAATAATGATCATGAAAAATAAATATAAAAAATTTATTTGGTATGGTGGTTTCTCAAAGAGTTAAACATGGAATTATCACATAATTCACCAACTCTAATTTTGGGCATATATTCCAAAGAACTGAAAGCAGGGACATACCTGTACACCAATGTTTTTATTATTCACAAAAGTCAAAAGGTAAGAAAAAAACAAAATGTCCATGTGTGGAAAAGTGTATAAACAAAATGTGGCAACGGCATATAACAGAAATTTAGTCAGCCCTAAAAAGGAAGTAAATTCCATACATGCTATACATGGATGAATCTTAAAGATACTATGGTAATAAAATAAGTCAGAAACAAATGGTCAAATAATATAGATTCCATTAATATGAGGTACCCTGAATAATCCAATACATAAAGACAAAAAAAATTAATGGTGGTTGTCAGGGACTGAAGAGAGGATGGAAAGGGGAATTATTCTCTAATGTGAAGAAAGTTTCAGTTTAAGAATATTAAAAATTTCAGGAGATGAATTGTACTGATGGCTGTACAACAATGTGGGTGATGCTATTGCCCTGCCTTGGGCCTTGTGCACAATAAGCACACAGCACATACTGTACCACTCACTGGGCCACAGCCACTTCCGTATGTGAATGTTCTTAATACCACTGAAGCATACATTCAAAAATGGTAAAAATGATCAATTTTAAGTATTTTATTTTATCATAATTTAAAAAAACTTATTTGAGCCAGGTGTGGTGGTATATAGCTGTAATTCTAGCAACTCAGGAGGCTGAGGCAGGAGGATAACAAGTTTAAGGCCAAGCTGAGCAACAGTGAAAACCTGTCTCATAATAAAAAACTAAAAGGGCTGGGGATGTGGCTCAGAGGTAGAGCAATCCTGGTACTGCTTAGTTACCAGTACCACAAAAATAAAAACAAAACCTTATTTATATAGTTGAGGTAAAAAAAATACATAATTTAGTTTATACCTATATTTCATTATATATCTAATGTCTAAATGTTGTACGCCCAATTTCAAATTCTTACCTAACAAATTAACTTAAAATACTTAATGTCTCACTTTCAGGTCATAGGTCCTGAAATCACAGTCAGAAAACATAGTTACCAAAGACATATATGACAGTCTTCTAGATCTCACTGTCTAATGCTATAGCCATTAGTCATATGTGCCTATTTAAATTTAAATTAACTAAAATTAATTAAAATTAAATATCCAGTTCCTCAATCACACTAGCCACATTTTAAGCGCACAACCACATGTGGCTCCAGGCCACTGTAATGTACAATGTGGATATGAATATTCCCATCATTCCAGTATGCTGTATTAAGACTACACTGTAAAGAGAATACAGTAACCTTCTTTGGAAATCATTGGTGTATGTTGAGGGCACCCAGAATAAAAAGTCAATCATACTGAGCACTGAAAGAGGAAATAACCAGCTGACTGGCCATAACAAACAGGTACAGGTTGAGCACCATCTTTATGATGTAAATGTTGCATAGACTTTGATTACTTTTAAGTTGAAGGAGGAGCTAGTTACATCATCTTAGACACACCAAAATAAGTCCTTTTTTTTTTTTAAATAGCATCTTACAATGGGAAAAATCATGCTAAGTAGATTTCCACAGTAACTCTACAAAATATTATGGAATTTGAAAATTAAAAACACAGAGATTATATAGAAAGGAAAGAAATATCTAGTATATGAAGTAAAACATTATAAATCAATTTTATAGTGTGAATTCAGTTGTAGACCAGATATGTAGCAATGTGAACAATTACCATAAGGGAACATGGAAAAACAAAATGACAGTATGGGTGTTGAAGCAGCAGTGGCATGTTATAGAATAAAGGAACACTTTTCAAATCTCACTAAAACAATATAAATGAAGGTAAACACACTCAAGCTATTCTATTCTAAGGATAAAATGGCGCACTATTTTGTTATTCTACTTGCACATTGATCTGACCTCAATTTTACAAACAGAATTCTATGTATGTTCTATGTCACGCAGTCAGTTGTTCCTCTAATAAAATTAAGTCCTTCTAATAAAATGTTCTGGAAGGAACAGTTTCAAAAACTCTGAGGCTTTGGAAGTGTCTTCAGGAGTTCATAGGACTTAGTTCTCTGCCTCCACAGTTTTTAAGGTGTAAAAAACAGCAATTCAGGGGCTGGGGTTGTAGCTCAGTGGCTCAGTGGTAGAGTGCTTGCCCAGCATGTGTGAGGCACTGGGTTCAATTCTCAGTACCACACATAAATAAATGAATAAACTAAAGATCCATCAACAACTAAAAAAATAAAAATAAAAAAACCCCCAGCAATTCAAAACTTGAACAAATTAGGGCAAATGCATATCTGGTACACCATGCTTCTGCTTCTGTACTAATTTCTATCAAGCACATAAGCCAAGTGATAACATGCCAATTTATTTTAAAATGTCCTTATGTATTTTCAACACAGTTACATCATAAGTAGAACTATAAAGGAATATATTACGTCCTGGTGAAAAATAATAAACCTTACGTATCACAAATAATGTATCTTTCAAAATATGCAATTTTTCCTATGAATCAAAGCCTCTGGCTCCTTAAATATAGTTTCTCTTCTAAAATTATATATATGTTTGAGATTGTATCTGTTCAATTCTATAATTTTTCATATAAGGTAAGTTGGATGTATAAATAGATTAGAAAAACATGGCCCTCCATAGAACTTTTTATGAATAATGCATTTGCCAAAATTATACTTTAAGTGTTATACCTTAGAAAATAATTCACAAGGATAACACAAATCTCATTAACATCTAACACCAAGTTTAATGACACAGGAGAGTTTTATACTGTGATTCAACTATTGATTTCAATATAATTATATATGTATTTATGTATTGCATATAAATGTTTCATTGCATTTAAATTTATGCTCCCAATATTTCATTAATTAATCACAATTTCCTAGTATTTTAAATCATGTGAGCAGTCTCCAAAGCTACAAAAATGGTAAATAGCTCTGAAAAAGCTCTCATTGCATGTTGAGGCAAACATTTTGTGGAAGGGAAGATCTGAGTTCAAGTCACTACTAAGTCACTAATTGATAGTTTACCCTGCTTAATTCACTTCATCCATCTAGTTTCAGTTTCTCCACTAGTACAACTGAGGGATAGTGAAGGTGATATTTAATACCACCAGTTTGTGTTTTAGTCAGAACTTACCTCTCTCAACACGGGATCAGTGATTGAATTCAGGTTGACAGCTCCCTCATAGGTCAGGTAATAGAACACATTGAGGGCTCGCACAGCTTCTGGTCCTTGCTGCTTATAGCCAAAAATGAGATCAATCCATTGGTGAAGCTGGCAAGAAACAAATTCACTTTCCAGGGCCTGAAAAAAAATGTGTAAATAATATCATCAGGCTGAATTCTATTTTTAAAGCGGATATATATTTAGAACAAATAGAAAAGTTTAACATTAAACTTACTACCAAAAGGGACTTTAAGAGGGCTGGGGATGTAGTTCATTGGCAAAGCACTTGCCCAATACCCCTGAGGCCCTGGGTTTGGCACCCACCCCAAGACAACCAAAATATAAAATAAACAAAACTAATAAAAATCAAATAAAAAAGGAGGGGGACTTTAAGAAAACAAAACTGGTGGTGGGTGTCCATAATCCTAGCTACTTAAAAGGCTGAGGCAGAAGAATTGCCAGTTCAAGGCCAGTCAGAAAACAATCAAAAACAAGCTCACCAAAACAAAATTGGGGATAGATGTTGCTCAGTGGTTAGATTATGTGCTTGTTAGTGTGTGAGGCCCTAGATTCAATTCCTTTGCCTTGAAAAAATAAAATAAAGTTAATTCTGATAGCCTTTTTTTCTAACAGAATCTGTTCTCCTTTGTATATGATGTAAGACTTTCTGGCACTTATCGTTCTGAACTAGAATCACTGCTTATGTTTCAGAATGCTCCTGCAGTACAGTAAGCACTGTGAGGACTGGGCCTCTTCTGGTCACATTTGTAACTCAGGCCTTGACAGATACTCAATTTATGCTTCAAACAATGGAGGTTGTACAGTGTAAAGGTGACTTTGGGAAAGCAAATAGGAAAACATTAAAAATTTACTATCTACTTGAAATATTTATAATATTTCTGGAATTAAAATATTTTGTTGTCTAGTACAACAACTATTAACCCAATTATTTAGTTATTTTTGTTGAGTTTTTTTGCTAACAAACTAAATATTCTGGATACTTATATTATTATTCTAGGAATTAATAGCAAACCAGATCAAATATTTTGTTATTAACATAACTGCCCAATAAATAATGAATGAACATAATCAAGTATTCAGTTGAAATACTGGGCACAAGATCCACTTCCCATTCATCATGACATTCCCACTTACTAGCATTTCGCAAAAATACAATAGGTAACAACACACATTTGCTGAATTTTACAAAGTTATAAATATTAAAGAGCTTAAAAACTGGGAATTAGTTTTTAGGACGGTTTTCATCTTTATACTATATAATGTTCTAAATAATTCCAAAATAGAAGTTTAACATTATGGATTAGTTTACCAATAGATAATTCTTGAACTTAAAATGTTGAAGCTCAATTAAAAAAGTATACCAAGTTATATTTGGTAATGTATCTCATTGAAATGAGCACCATTTTTGGAGTAAAAGTATATGGTCATGATGTTCTTTTGTTGTTTTGTAGCATAGATAAGAACTCTGTGGGTTTTAAAATAACCTTTATTTTTTCTCCCTGTGCTGGAGGAATTGAATCCAGGGCCTTGTGCATACTAAGTGCCACCGATCTACATACCCAGTCCCCAAATTTACTAACATCTATAGTAAGCGACCAATGAGATGTAAACTATTACATGACAAAAGATTTTAATTCACAGGGGTATTCTTGTGTAAACAGATGCTGTACTAAATAAGTACATATGAACAAGAAAACAGTTTATGGCTAGATACAAATAATAAATTCCACCTAACTAATAACATTTAACATGGTTTTGCAATACTATATAATACCATAAATAAAAGTATAGGCATAAGGCAATTCTCACTTCCAAAGTGTATCTGAAATACATCAAAGCATACCTAAAAAATATTTAGCTAGTTTCTGTTGTAAAAGTTACTATTTTAGACATCTATTATAAAATTCAGTATATTTGCAAATCTAGTAAAGAGATAAGACAGCACAAACTACTTCATATTCTACTTGAAATAAGAAGAAAAGAGCTTGTAATAATTTGAAGTACATTCCTATTTTAAGTACACACATTTAAAATGCATCTAAAATCTAGGAACTAAAATGCCAGTTGTACACAAAAATGATACGTTTGTTTCATTAACTTAGGCCGGGGTTGGGATGGGAGGGAGTAGGGGCACACGTTTAAAGTGACACATAAAAACAGCAATTGTCTTAATTTGTGTGCAGTGCACTCCACACAAAAGCCCTAAATATGTTCAAATTAGAGCAAGCTGCTTGATTGTCACTGCAGTCTCATGTCACATTAATGCATGACAAACATTAAACCATACACTTAAATGGCAATTTATATCATTTAAATGTTTAGTGCCAGACTAGCTCATCACTCATTTAAATGTGACTTTCTGACAGCTAATTTCAGTTAATTTTCTCCAATTCACTTAATTAGAACTTTCAATCAGGGAAGGACTTACACATATCTTTTGAGTTTACATCCTTTTTGGTTGTTGTTCAAAAATATGGGTTAACAAACTGCTAAAAAACTCTACTATAACAGTTTTGCATATAACATCTCTGAATCTACTAAGAAGTGTTACTATATGAAGCAAATTCACAGTATGTATTCTTAGAACCCATACTTATTTATGTAAATAATACTCTCGCCAGTAGTTTAAATAAAAAACGTTTAGTTCTTATACACACACTATTGAAACAATAAAAAAACCTGCATTCAAGCTAATTAAAAATTAATGATTTCAAAATTGTTTAATAAGATAAAACAGTCAGGAGTCTCTTGAGTGTCCATGGTGTTGTGATTTGAGACTATAAAATTCTAGGAGGCTCAGCAAATGACAAAGTACAAATGAATTTTCTCAATATTAAAGCTCTAAAAACTAGGGCAATTTTATTTTATGTGTCATCAAACAAAGAACTGTTTGTTGTGAGTTTTCCTAATGGTTGATTACTTCTTTATGCACATTCAAAATGGTGATGTTGGTTAGATTTAAATGCTTAAAGCTTTGCATATTGACACTTCATCAGAATTTTAAGCAAAATCGCTGAAAGAAACAATACTCTATACTCATATTATTCTGCAAACACACATGCAGAGAAAACCCACAGTGCCATGGTGCAGTCCTACCAGTAGCTGTCATAGATCAACCATTAATTCATGGAATTATTGGCAGAACCTGTTTCAGAGGTTGATAAACACACCACCTTCATGAATAAACTTCAAAAACCTATTTACTTATTTGGTTTGGTTTTGGGCTTGAACCCAGGGGCATTGTCACTTAGCTATATCCCTAGCCCTTTTTATTCTGCAACAGAGCCTTTCTAAATTGCCCAAGTTGGTCTCAAACTTATGATCCTCCTGCCTCAGCCTCCCAAGTAATTACAGGCGTGTGCCATGGCACCCAGCTTAACTTCAAATAATTTTTTAAAAACTAACCTAAAAATTTCATTAATTTCAAGCATTTCTTACTACATACCAAAGCTTTAAAAAGGGATGTCCAAAGGGCAATCATGACATAGAATTCTAAGAAGTTTTAAAATCATTTTAATACAAAGTCTGCTCAGGACTTTAACATCCTCTTGATATCAGTGAATAACAATTGCCTAACCAAGAGTATATATTAATAAACAAATGCACCTACCAAAGACTTGAAGAAAAAAGGAAGGACAAGCTGGAGGAAATTAAGGAGAAGTAAACACAAACAAAAAAAAAATCAATGAAAATGGAAAACCCTAGGACTACATTTTATAACTTCTGTTTTTGAAAATCTATAACAAAAAACATAAAACCTCTACTAAACTCTTTAAAACATCTTCTTTATAGACTAAAATTTTTAAAAGTATTCATTATATAAAATTCTTATTTAGTCTACATATTTTCTCTCTCTCTCTCTCTCTCTCTTTCTCTTTCTCTCTCTCTCTCTCTCTCTCTCTCACACACACACACACACACTGCTAGTAGAATGTTATGCATCTGAGTCTTTCAAAGCCTTTAGGACAGACAATCCTCATTAAGACTGGCATTAAATACGGTCTGCAGCCAGGGGATAGTAACATTCTTCCCATGCTCCTCTCGAACCCAACCAATCAATTGTTAGTACTCCCCTAGCAGGGTGCATACATCATTTACATCGGATGTGTGTTCTGAGTAAAATCTGTAAAAAAGAAAATCCACTAAAATGTCCAACACAATACAATAATACCCAACTCATCTGAGTTATTATAAAATAAATCAGTAACTAATGTTCAATTGCTAAGGATCAAATAAGACTATGAAAAGATTATGATATGAAGCCTCACAGAAATTGTCAATCTAATCCAGAGGGACTCATATTAGTCTTGACAAACTATCTTGGGGCTGATATCTGTTTTTTTTAATGAGATCTATTAGGCAGAGACTAAAACACTTGAGATATGCTAAAAGTACAGTATACAGATGTCAAATAAAACACTTATTAGTAATTTTCATTTGTTTTGTCCTCATGCAGATATCAACAAATTAAAGCTTTAATATTATAAAGATAATAGTAAATTATTCATAAATAACTGGCTTGTGTAGCCCTGTGTCAGAAATAATTATAACATATGAATATGTGTCTAACAATAAATCTTTCTGAAAGAATGCAATCTATGTTTTCCTGAAACTAACCCATTAAGGAAATGAATTATTTATATAAATGTTATATAAAATTATTCTTCTATTGTAGAAAGGAGTCAAAATAAGTGATAACATAAAAAGTTCACTTTCTAAGATATTTGAGAATAAAAGTTCGAAAATAAAAGGCATGAATCATGATTTAATTTATGCATAGATACTTTATCAATTTCCCTTAAAAATAAAATTTTCACAAATGTAAAAATTATGTAAAATCAAAGAAAATAGATTTCAATTAACAAAGAAATTATTAGATAACTTTACCAAGACAAACAAGGTATACTTGTATAATATTCATATTTCTCATGCTGTTATTGTCAATTAATGTTAATATTTATTTATCCTGTCACCCACTTAAAATACAAAACCAAACCAAACAAAACAAATAAGGGCTGAGGATGTGGCTTGGTAGTAGAATACCAGCCTAGCATGCATGAGGCCCTGGGTTCAATCCCCAACCATAAAAACAAACAAACAAAAACTAAAAAAATAAC